TATGTTTTAATGGGAAAATCATCCATTATTGTAATCCAATCAAAGATCCAAAGTTCAATTTTTGACTGAAGCCGTTGCAAAATGTCACTTGCAGTTTCATTCAATCTTTGGTTGCTGTCCAGCTTTTTCCGCCTGCGATTTTTCTCCTACAACCGAGGTTTGAAAGATGCAGACATAGACTGGAATTGCGACCCATGGCCGTCGCCCCTGGGCCGCATGATCCAGGATGGGTTGAAGAATTTAAATCCTACAGTAGCCCTGAACAAGTGGTGTATATAGTATAGATCGAAGAAGATCATCATGTGGAAAATGAGCGCCTTAGTGCAGATCCCACATGTTGCAGGGTTTACCCAGCTGTCAATCCAAGATATTCCAAGCACCTTCACCGTCCTACGCGAGGCAACCTGTTAGCATGGACTTGTGTCGTCAGCTTCTGGCCTTTAATCCTGCCTTGCGACCCAGCTCAGCGCGTACGGTGGGGGACCTCAGGTTGTGGGAAGGGTCGCTCTCGCCTCTCAACCCGATCAATGAATTGTGAAAACATATATAATCAATATTAGATGAATGATATAATATGATACAAGTACACTCTCTCTCTCTCTGTATATATAAATGTAATTATATATATATATCATTATTATTATTAATTACATGCAGTGTTATTGTTATTGTTATTACTATATATTATTATTACTATTATTATATTATATATATTTTCCATTTTGTTAAATTATACTACATTACATTATTACATATAGATATATAATATAATATATATATAACATAATATATATATACTTCGAATGACCAATATTGGCCAGCGATTGTTTCATGGTTGGCTTTGGTATCCATGCCACGGTAAAACCTCTCCACGGCTCCATGTGGTGCAGGCCTTGGGCCATATCTGGTTTCTGGACTGATGGCTGGTGCCCTGGTGGCGTCCGGCGTCCGGGTTAGCCTGGGCTGTTGTAATTCATAGTGGACCCGTGTGCATGGCAGGGCATGGCTCATGGAGATGTGTGCATAGGGGATATCATAGACATCCACATTCTAATGAGGTAGAATAAGGAAGAAATATATATATATATATATCACTATGTTTGTATGAGTTGCTTTCTCTTGCAAACTTGAGGGTGTCGTCGTTGTTTGAGAGATCCTCTTGCTTCCAAACAAGGCTTGCAAGTGTTTTCATGCATCAGCTACATGTAGCATACACAATTGAGGATATGAATGCAGCATTGCCAGATTTGGTTTGAAGGAAGATTTTCAGGAAAACCACGTTTATTTGGAGGCAAAGTGTCATGGTTTCTTGCACATTTTCCAAATCCATTATGTCATATTGTGTCCATGGAAGCATCTTGCCATCCTTTCCCATTCTTCCAGCTTGAAGGAACCATAGACGTTCTGTCACTCCCTGCAGCAGAGAGCTGAGGTGTGTCGGCTCCCCAGAAACCATGGTGGTAGGGAAGGGAATTTCCACCATTTTCCACATATAATTGGGCCATATTGGGCTACGGAATATTATAGAATGAGGGTGTTGAATATTAGGGGATGATGGGATATGATGGGATATGGTGGGATTATGTGACTAAAAAATACTTCAAGACTTCCAGTCCATTGTTGGAGGTTAGCTCTGCATTCCGCACAGTGCCTCAGGAACAACAGCTGCGTGGGCTGCACAGCTTTCTTGCGATAATTTAGATGCCTATTGACTTGCCAGAGCTATGGGTTTTTGGGTCAGCGGTGGCTGGGTTCAGCCGGTTCCCAGATCAAGATCCAGCAGATTTGTGTCTGTCAAATTGCTTGGAGGTGGCTTGAATATGATTGAATTCGATTTCGATACTTTCCCAAATGCTCGTGGCTCTAGCAGGCAGTAGATTTTTTTGGACTGAATTTGCCCGGTGATTTAGCACCCGCCAGACGTGTACAGTTGCTGGTGGGCGTTAATCATGCATGATAGGTCGGTTTTTGGCGGGCTGGGCCGCCTCCATCAGCTGCTCATTAGATTTTACATAGATCCATGGTGCTTGTTTGGTGTGATGCAGCCAAGAGTGGCCCAGGAAAACACCCATAGACACCCCATAGACTGTCGGAGACAGAAGGGGTGGCTGAGTGTTCTACGACAAAAAACTGTGCGAAGCCTTGATTCGCTGTCTCCGCACCAGCGCCATTTTTGTTAGGCGTGATCGTGAGGTCCTGATCTTACTCTGAGTTGTTTCATGCAGGATCATTGTTCACATTTGTTCACGAAGCTGCAACCTCCTGTTGTGCCAATGATGTGTTTAAATATTTTTAAAGGACAGATGATATCAGGCATGTGGGCCAAGTCTGTGGTGGTTGGGACCTCGCAGGGAGACGGTACCATTTTGCAAGCAGTTTTGCAGCATCAAAAGTCTTGGAAAAGTTTTGGAAAAGTCGGAGATAGTCGGAGGGGTGCCAAAGATGCGAAAGATGGGGTGAGCTGGAAGATTTGTTCCTTGCAGATCAGATTCATCGCTGATTGGATGTTCAGAAAGTTGCTGCATAGAAATCTCATCAAATCGAAAAAAACGGCTACGCATGGCTACGCAGTCATTCGAAACCAGATGGAAGCAGCCAACATGTTCCCCCCAAAAATCCACATCCGAGAACAGCAACTGGAGAGCTTTGATGAGCAATCCACGCCACCACTCAAAACCCCCAAATCTCGTGGCTGATCATCCTTGTTCTTGTTAAATCATGTTCAAACATGTTAAAAGTTAAATATATATTAACATCACTGGTTTGGGGTACATCCTACATCCCCCGCATGTGCAAAAGTCTACGAAAAAAGGGGGTATGATGGGTTTCTTGGATCCTGGATGATGAAAACCGGTACTCACCAATATTCGTGGATATTTTTGTTTAGTGGGATTTAGTCTAAGATGAACATTCAGATTAACTAAGTTTGATTTGGAAAATCCATGTGTCCGACGTTCATTTTTGGCCATCCCCATTCGCCTGACATGTCGGGTCGGCTGTCGATACCACCCGGCCCACGGGCTTTATGGCCCGGCCCACTGGCTGCGTTGCTTGATGGAGGGGTACCCCCGTTGTCAACAACCAATAGGTACCCTCTGGTAAGCTAACATAACCATGGAAAATCACCATTTTTAATGGGAAAATCCACTATAACTGGCCATTTTCAATAGCTATGTTAAACTACCAGAGGGTAAGTGATACGAAATCGGAGACCAAACCGGCCCCTCTTCATTTTTCCCAGCAGGACCATATTGCCTTAAAAGTCCAACATAGTCCAACTAGATCCCACAAGATTAAAGATGTTGATGATAAGCCACCCTACTTTTATTTATGTTATTATTATTATTATATATATATGTTTCCAGTGCTTTCCTTTGGCCTGTGGGATTAGCCACCCAGCGTGGGCCGGCGCCACCCTTTCGCCACCTGAAGTTCGCATTTTCAAACCGCACGACTTGACGAAAGTTGCAGAGCAGCACTGCCATGATGGCTTGAGTTGAAATGGGTATGGGTCAATACCTATAGATACCATTTTTAGGGGGATGAACATCCATAAATCCCAGCTATTTTGATGTGAACTACAGGGGTATAGGTTTTTGACCCACTGCCAAATGATTCTAGATGATTCTAGATTCTAAATTCTAAATTAGACTATCTCAAGCGGTTGGCAGCTGGAAAAACCTGTTTGGTTTTGGATGATTCTAGATTATCTTAGATGTGATGGGTAGCTGGGAAAACCTGACCTTTAGAATAATTTAGACCATTTTAGATGATGAGAGGTGGTAGCTGGGCAACCCATCCAAACATGATCCGCATGATCTGCATAGATTCACGCCTTGAGAATCGATGCCTGACTGCCTTGAGAATCTGAGGGTCCTGAAAATGATTATTGGGCAATTGAACGTTAAGCCTCCAGACATCATAGTTATACATCTTCTAAGCATCCCCTGCACAGGGTGCTTAGGACCTCTGACCCTCATTTGAATGTGTTTGAATTGATCTAGTTTATTTCAAGGAGAGAGAATCGCTGGTGGGACTCTTTACCAGACATTTGGGCATGGCATGGCATAGCGTTTTTGTTCATGTTGGGAAATGCTGGTGGCTGCAACCACGGTGAGTACTCGCTTTCTGTTCTCAGGTGCTGAACAGCACCGGCCGCGGTAGTGAGACAATGACAAAGGACCAAGTTTCAATTCAACTCGTATTTGGGCTTGTCCATGTTTGTCCTGTTTAGATAGTCGATATCATGTTCTATGTCGTCACTCATTTGGAAAGACTTTCCCTGGTTGAGTTGCTTGTCTCGCACGGCGTACAGAGACGGGGAAAGACTTTCCGCAACATCCAGCGGGCTTTTTTTGATTAAACAGGAGTGTGCAGGCGTGCATTGGGACCCATTGCAACCTCGCTGCCATTAGAATGATTTCATCCCAAACAGGATTAGAGATAAATGAATGATGCACGACATGCATGACAACATATCACAACCATGATATTTGCGTGAGCAGGCACCCGACCTGTCAACAATTTTATGAGAAGTCATTTGACCCTTCCTATTGGGAGACCCCCAAGACCCTGTTGCCAGTGTGAACACCTTAGATGGTTCAGAATTTGAATGCCCCTCATAGGCTTGCAGTTTGTGAGGGGCTTACCTGCATAATTATAATATGATATCATTATGTACATATATATATATTTTATATATATTATATTATATATATATGTGTTTATGTATATATATATATCTATCTATCTATGTGTATATATATATATTATATATATATATGTGTGTGTATATTATATGTGATTATACATACTTGCCCACACTAGAGTAGAGGCTGGGTTCAGCCACGCCCCGCTGAGGCACACTGAGTAGATCCTTAGCTTCTGAGTGCGGAAGAGCAGAGTAATCAGCGCCAAAATGCGCCAAATGCAATGGACCCAGATGGATTTTCAGACCCGGCTCAGGTGGAAGTGGTTGAAATGGGGAAATTCTGTCCCTTCCCCTGTGGTTCAAGGAAAGTTCCATGTCGCAATGGATGCGAATGGACTGGGCCTCATTGGGCCTTGGACATGATACATTGATAGATGTCACATTGTCAAGCAATTAGGGGCGAAACAGACCTGGTGAGAGTATCTTGAGAAGCTTCATTGTAGCGCGGGTTATAGCCTTGTTTGATAAAATCCAGCCGTATTGCTAGCTGCCAGCTTCTGCACGTAATTCATTGGCACAAGCCACCTGCGGCCAAAAGCCGATGCTCAAAAAAGGGCCATGCTCACACAATATATGCTTCGTGTATCTTGGTGTGTGCATATACATACATACGTACGTACATGCATGCATGCATACATACATGCATAGATACATAGATACATACATAGATAGATAGATAGATAGATAGATCGATCGATCGATAGATAGATAGATAGATATATTATGTATAGTCACACGCTACTTGCATGTTGTGAATGTGATTCCAACAGATCTGTGGACTCTGCCAACAAGCCGGGTCAAGGGACTGCCTCACGCTTCAATGCGACCAAACAAGTGGCTGTCGGTTGAAGGCCTTGGTCAATGACCATCATGTGATGTATGAATCCCATCCCAACATGAAACACCCCCATTGATAGTCCCACTGATTAGTGGATTTTTCCTACTGAACTACTTAACCATTGTTTCAAGGTGTTTGATATTAGAGGGATGATGGGGGTGGGATTACTGGATTGTCGCCATACATATTCAAGACATTGAAAATCCATGAGGCTTGGTCAAAGGATCGTTTCCTAACTTTTCACGGAAAAAACAAGATCTCCAGTAACTCCAGTGGTGCCATCATATGCCATCATCCCGGACGCCGTTTTCATGCCTGGCTCCCAGCTGGAACCACATCCTCTCTTGGGATGAGAGGGCAAGCTGTCAACTTCGGGCGGACCACCGCCTTCGGTTGGCCTTGTAGACCATTTGAGAAGACATGGTACCCTGGTACCCCTCGGTACCCCTCATAGTTCTCAAGTGGAATTGCCAGATTTTGGGGCAAATTTTGGATTTTCGGACCCAAGTTGCACGCCGAGCCATGCTGTTGGGCCCGATGCCCAGTCGGCGGCGCGTCCTGCAGCTGCAACGGTGTGACAGGCATAAGCTGTCAGTGTTGTGTTAATGTGGCAAACCCAATCACAACACATCCCAACTAATTATTTCTATAAATGGGTGGTCAGAAAACATTCCCCATAATGGTAGGTTTCTTTGGTAGCCTATACTTAGATACATACATATATATATATATTATCATATATTTATACTTTGAAATCATTTAAGTCCTGTGTTCATGTCATTTATATCACTGGCTGGTCACATGGCAGGACCAGCCCTGCTCGGTGCTCGGATTGCTCGGATTGCTCGGATGGAGGTCATTTGAGTTTTGGCACCGCCACAACTAGTCCGACCAAAAACTGTTCCCCAGCGGTTCTTGGCAAAAAAAACAGTACCCTCTGGTTATCTAACATAGCCATGGAAAATGATTTATAGATGGTTTACCTATTAAAAATGGTGATTTTCCATAGCTATGTTAAATAACCAGAGGGTAATCCTGGAAGATCCTGGAAGATTCGCTTGTTCAGGCGCTAGCTGTCAGACCATCTTGTGTGGCCAACAATGTCAGAACAAAAACGTCAAGAGATTCCATGGAGATTGAGCTATGAAAGAGGCTTCCCAGAATATGAGCAGGGCATACTGTCTCAGGGATCTCAGGGCAGCCACCGAAAAAAATCACATCCCGCCATGCTGGCAGGTAGTCCATGAGATGTGGCTGGGTGTCTTCTGGAGCAGCTTGGAGTCACTGTTTTATGATGTGCACCCAATGGCCAGAAATTCAAGCGCATCGCGTTTGGGTTTAAGATGGGATGACTTGGCAGAAACTCCACAAGGTTGAAAAATTGTGCAATTACTGTGATGCTTTGCATATGTTTGCATGGGTTTTGGTGGTTTGGAAGAAAAAGTCGGCATTTGCATCCTAGTTTCGAGCTCGGATATGCTTGCTACTGGCTACCGGCATGCGTGTCACTCCATGTTGCTTGTCATGTTTGTCTAAGAAAGCATGACCGACGTGATCTCTAACCCCAACCATCCAATCAGCAAAATGTTCTCAGGGTCCTGGTTGGACCATTGATGGTTGCATCGATTTCTACGAGGTGGCCGCTGATTCTGACATCCGAAAAGTCTTGCGGAAAGGAGTGGGGCATTTGAGCATTTGGGTGGGTTATTTGGGCAGAAAGGGCAATGGATTATCTCAAAGAAGTGTGACTGCGGTCAGCTTCCCTACTTTGGTACATTCATCGCATCCCATTGGATCCATTGGTGTGTGGCTTTGTCATCATGGTAATTTACGACTGTCCGTGCCACCAAATGCCTGACGGTCTGAAGTTCTTCTTCACAGATTTACACTTACAACCAGCCATGGCCAGAGTTTGAGCCAACCATGGCCTAGTTCTTGCCAGTTCTTGCTG